GAAGAAGAAGAAGAAGAAGAAGAAGAAGAAGAAGAAGAAGGAAGAAGAGGAGAGAGAGAGAGAGGGGACTGGCGAGGGAGAGGAGGAGAGACCCTCCAAGCTCCCGATACCTCAGGCGGTGATAACCGCCATGCAAGCTCAGTCGCCCGCTGCTGCTCCGCTCGCTGCTGCGCTATGCTGCACTCCTTCTTCAGCCCCTGCGCTAAGTTTAGCGCATCAAAACAGTGCACTAGCACTGACCATGCCGTGCCGGTAGAGTTCCGGTAGGCCGATGCTCCTACTGAGGCGGATACCGGTACTTATACCGGTGGGCAATGGTCTGGCCTCAATGCTGCGAGGCCAGGCCAGACCCTGGACCGTCCAGATGGACGGTTCAGCCTCAATCGGCGGGCGGCAGCTTCAAGAGCGCCGCCAGGCCCAAACGAAGTGTCATTTGGGCCTACCCGATGGGTGATAGTCCAAAATCAGGCCTTTAGGGCCTGTAACCCCAAAGGTCGGGCCTTTAGGCCCTGGTGTGTCCCTCCGGCCCTAAGTCGGGTCCGGTAGGACCCGTGTGAGTCGAAGATGTAACATCTGGGCATAGTTTTGGCAGATGTATGTATCATTTCTGGTGATGTGTTGAAGCTTCTGAGTCACGATCATCCTGAGTTTCTCCCTCTCTCTTCATTAGATGTGAGCTTGGCTTGGAATGGGTTGATTTTGCGTGCCTGAAAAAACTGATGAATAGTCCTGAACAATGACAGTTTCCCGGGGCGTGCGTGTAAGCATGGGCATTGGTTGTGTGCTGGCATCTGAGACTACATGTGTTTGGGCTATAAGCCAAGTCAGATGGCTCATCGGCCGCATCTTATCTCAGTCCATTAACAAGATGGTGACTGGGCAGCCGGCTCATCCTTTTCTCCTGTCCATGAGTTATAGCCCTGTGCCCAGGTTGTCAAATCTGAGACTGCCAGTGTTTGGGATATAAGCCAGGTCTGATGGCTTGATCGTGTTCATCTTAGATCCAACCATCAACAAATCGGGAACTGGGCAGACAGCTCTTCCTCTTATCCTGTCAAATAGGGGTTATAACCCTGTGCCCAGTTCGAACCAGAACCACAGGTAGTGTCCTCGATGGCCTGTATCAGTTTGCACACAGTGATAGTGATCTATACATTCTTCTGATGACCATGCTCACAGAGAGTCCTCTCTGCCACGTTTAGTTTGCGTGAATTTTCTTGTGTCCTTATGTTCCAGAAGCTTGTGCGGGAACCTTGTCCGGAGGCCTCGGCAGATCATGGAGTCTATGGGCCTCGCTTCAGCGGCTCCACTTCTCTCGACATGCACCAACGACAAAAAATATGGCAGTGTATACTTCCATGTTCTAGTGGAAGATCCGTTAATTTTGCACGATTGGAGAGTAGTGGACCGAGGCCCTATTCCTAATGGTTTGTTGGGACAGGATATGGTGCTGAAAAGAGCAGCAATGAGTGACTGATCACTGCTTATGGGGGGTCTTCATGGCAGACAAAGACGTCTTTGCAACACACCACAGCAGAGAGATTTGACAGCAATGAGTGACTGATCACTGCTTATGGGGGTCTTCATGGCAGACAAAGACGTCTTTGCAACACACCACAGCAGAGAGATTTGACATCCCTACCATCTTCGCTGTAGTTGAATATCAGGTCGTTATAGCTGTAGCTGGTGCAAAGGTCAGCCTAGATACAGCTATAATGACAGGGCGTCGGAGTAGTCAAGCGGGAAGTCGCAGCCCCTTGATTCGACCAGTCGATTAATGCACCTGTCTGCACCTACCAGTCGGCACCCCGCAAAAGAAAAAGGACCACCATTACTGAGTCACCTCCCCGCCCCGCCCCCCTTTTCCCCCAGATTGCCCCCCAACTATTGTCCCCAAAACATAAGCCTCTCAGCGGATTTGGGCTCTACTAAGCAAGCACAGCGCAGCCCAAACTCGGGGAAGGGGGGGGGCGGGGAAGACACAAAAAGTGGATGGCCTTTTAGCGACTAGTCGGCAGACCAGCTACAAGTAAGCTGCAGAGTGGGCAGCCGTCGGCATTGGTGGTCCGCTGCTATGCAATCCTGCCGAGCATTCTGTTGGGGTGAAGACGGTAGGAACGTCCGCTCAAACAGCTTCAGCATCAGCTCAAACAGCTTCAGCATAAGGTAGCAGATCTGGCGCGCTCTCAGATAGAGGGTTGCATGATGGGAGGAGAAAGGCCAGGGAGGTATGGTCAATAGGGGCATTCTGGATGTCAGAATTGTAGTGCAGAATGTCAGGAGTAGGTTTCGTGCTCAAGTAACCAGATGAGCGGCGTAATTTGGTAAACTATTTAGATTGGTTTAGTAGAAATCCACTGCATATTCTCTGCCTCCAAGAAACACAGCTATTGGACTCAGATAAACACAGTGTACAAAGTACGGGTTCAAGGAAGCTGAAGTGGGTTAGAGATTCGTTCTGGGCTCCCACCAAGAAGACGGGGCCTGCTGGACTGCAATCCTATTACGTGCCTGGCCTTAAAATTGGACCCGTAGGTTGAGGATTCTAAAGCGTTCCATCAGCACTTCATGCATTTTGCTACACACACACAGACACACACACACACACACACACACACACACACAATCAGTTTTATGTTTGTCTGTTTTCCTCTTGTTGTTTGTCCTCCCTCTGATCTTTTTCTGAGTATTTTTGCTTACCCAACTGAGCACCCTTAAGTAGTGCCAAACAGTCGGTGGTTCCTCGTTTGGAGTGCCTACTGCACTCTTATGGGGGCCGCTCAGCTCGGGATGTCTGTGTTGCCTGTAGGCGATGACGGATGCTCGTCGCAGTGACTCCCTGGCTCAGTGGGTGGGAACCAACAGTCTGCGGGGTTCAATCGTGATGTGAGTAGGTCATGTGCTGCTTCGCTCCGTGTTGGATGTGTGGACGGCCTCGTCTGCGCTCCGCCGCTGCCCTGCTGCCTGTCCTGCTTGCTTCACATGGTGTTCTTTGCAGGTTGATGTGTTCACTGTGTGGTGTGGCCGTGTTGTTGGTGTTGCCTTGCGCTTCGCTGCTCCACTGCCTTGCTGCCCTTCCGCTAGCCGTGCCTTCCGTGGTTGCTGCTTGCGGGCCTTGCTCGATGGTTGCCTTGTGCTTCGCTCCACGGTTGCCGGGTTGCTGGTCTGCTTGCCCTTTCGTCCATTGCAGTGTGGTTGCCTTGCTTGTGTTGCCTTGTGCTTCACTGCATGGTTGTCTCGCTGCATGTCCTGCGTGCCATGCCGTTCCTTGCAGTCGTTTTTGGCCTTGTGCAGCCTTGTTGCCTCTACTGTGTTGCCTGGTGCTCCACAGGGTTGCTGCCCGCTGCTATGTTCCGCTTGGGGACAGTCTGCCTTCAACAAGGGTCAAGGG